CATAATAAAATTGCATAATCCATATTACATGGTTATTAATTAATAATTGACCTAACCTCAATAAGATAACGAAACAAAAGGACATTGCTTTTATGATACTTTTTATACATAAGTATATCTAGAGTAACCAATTTTCGGAATTTGAAAAAAATTTAATCATGATACATTTTGCACATTTTGCGATGCGACATATCTCTACCAAATATAAATGATATAAACAATACTAAATAATTAATTATTTAGTATATTTATATTTAATATATTTGAATACAATATTCACGAAATAAAATAAATATTTATAATTTTATTGTTTTATATTTTTTATTATTTATTTATATAAGTAAAATTATTTATTTTATATTCTTTATTATTTATTTATATAAGTAAAATATATAAGTAAAATTTTTAATATTTTTATAATATAATATTAGCAATTTTTTTTGTAAATATTTTAAATAAAATTAAGAAATTATATATAAAAATAATAATTTAAAGTTCATCTCGTTCTTTATAATACATTCGAAAATAAAATTATCAAAATCGATAATGAAGATAATTTTTTTACAATTTTACTATGAATAATGATATTTTGTATTGTATTTAGCGAAAATAATATAAAATTGGTTTAAATTTCTTGATTCAAATAAATTATTAATAATGAGAAATCAAAAATTATTATAATATAAATTATTAATAGGAAATCAATCGGACGAAAATCGGTTTAAAGGAAGATTAAAAAAAGTTAGCTTTGATAACATGTGGAAATAAAATTGGATTTGCATCCTTATCGCGATAACGACGATAAAATATTTCTATGCAAAATGCATAAATTTCTACGCAATAACTGAACTCATTCTGGAAAATTGTATCGAATATAAAATGTGTCAGTAAATGATTTGGATTATAGAGGATCGATAAATTTAATTAATTTACAAATTGATCCGGAAACAATTGGCAAGGTGAGACTCGACTATTTTTGACGCGACCATTTTTGACGCAACGCGCATTCTAATTTGCTCTGGTTGGATAAGGTGCAGCTTTATTACTCTCACATCTCTTACGATGAGTCACGAACAGGTTCCACTTCGGAACGACGAATTTTAAATAATTTCAGCCTGTTATTCTTTCGCGACAAGATGCTGTCATCGCTTCAATTTTACACGAT